GGCATTTTGTCCAAAAGTGGTCCGTCCATGTAAACATTTATACAAAAAACACATACTTTTAAAAGACTTAAAATTGTCGAAACTCAAGAAATTGTGTTTTTCAAGGATGGTACAGTGGTGGTATGAATTTGGCTTTCTGTCTAACACCTTGATAGCTCTCTTGTACAGCTGCTCTCTAGGTTTAAGGTTTGTGGCACAAGCAGACGACCAGTTTGTGAAACAGTATTCAATGTGGGATAGAATCATATGGAGGTATGACTTTGCAGCATTGAAAGTTAAAGGTGGGGTAGGTAATTCACTTCAGAAACACTTTTTGTTATATTCCATGGAATGCTCTTAAAATCCCGATAGCAATGAATACATTAAATGCTTTGACAATAAATCTGTGGAAGCCGTAGCGCTGTAAAAAGCACGACCAATCATCTGAGCCGGCCCGGCTAAAATAACTGGATGGCCTACCTGCCTGTCAGCCTTCCATCTCGTGCACAAACTTATCTCGTGCCCTCATTGGTCATGTGCGTGTTCGTGTGTGTTGGAGGGGCTCGGTAAGGAAGTCTGAAGGAAGGGCCAGATTTTTGTCGGCTGCGTACTTTCAAATGCTAGCGCACTCGAGCTGGTTTCTCCATTCTTACCTACCCTACCTTTAAGAAGGGTCTAATTTGTTTAAAATGTTGCAAGTTGAATTTAATGGTATTGGATACTTTCTTAATATGTTTCTTAAAAGTCAAGTTTGAGTCCATTATGACTCCAAGACACTTGAAGTGGGGGACTAGTTCTATTTCTGCTCCGTTTAAAAACACATTGGATCCTTCGATTTTGACTGGTCGTTTACTGAACATCATGCACATGTTTTTTGTTGCATTTAACTGTAAGCAAATGTTGTTCAGCCAGTGTTGAACCTTGTCCAAAGCATTTGAGAGACAGGATGAGATAATTTCAGTGTTTTCCCCATTTAGGCTACAAAGATGACTGCATCATCGGCGTACATTTGCACATTCAACTCAGGACATACATTAGGCAAGTCATAATGTACAGAGAAAACAGTAATGGTCCAAGAATGGATGTTTAGCACACTATTGTTTACCATGTTCACCATCTTAGTTTACTGTGTTAGCATGCTCACATATGCTAATCACAACTATAAAGCTGAAGCTGTTGGGAAATATCGTTTATTTTTGCATGTATTTAGTCATGAAATTAAGTACTCGATAATGGCGCTAAATGAAAAGTAAACTATCCTTAAAGTAGGCATCATTTATGGAAATACAGTTGCTAAGATTGTTTTTGTCTGCACCAAAGTGTCGACTGACTTTTTGACATTGCCACACCATAAGCTAGCTTGGCTACAGACGTCATGTTAATGCAATTCCTTATTACAGCACTGCAGGCTAAGAGAGGGAAATGTTCACCATGAAATTATTATAATTAATAGACACCTCATGGTTTCTGCAGTCAAAGTTCAAATCAATTGTGATGCCTTGGTAACGGAATTGATTATACAGGATGTGCTCATACAAAGCAGCAGCAGGCTGTCCCTTGTGGCTGCAGCAGCTTCTGTTTGTAGCTCAGCTGTGTTTAAAACTAATGGAATCTATTTTGTAGTTCAGGCAGAACATAATTCTCAACATAATCACGTTATTGTTTTGTAAGACAAGCCATCTGTTTTGGGTGGCAGTGACCTTTTTAATGCATTTCATAAAGATATAATGAAACACTCGGAAAATAAAATAAAATAGCCTCCTTACTCCTAATTGCATGCCCTGTCTGTTTAGACTTTTAAATAAATCAATAAACGTGGAGAAAATGTGTGCGCCCTTCCTTCAATTCATATAGGTTACTGTTTAAACGTCAACTATCATGTGTCCATAGATAATAATAATAGCCACCCAGTCTCTTATATAAATCACCTTCTTCAGCCAATATAATCAACACTGACAAAACCCTCCCACTCGTCAATCAAAAGTACTGTGTATCGCTCACTGATTGGACGATGCAGTGCATGCACCGATGTGATGCTTCTTGACATGAGAGCAGTTTCCCAGCGGAGTGAAGAAAATACATGAACCTCACGGGAGTCACTCCTCAGTTTATACCGTCTTTTGTGTCAATTAATTTTTCATTTAGTTACAAATATGTGATATATCTGAACAACAAAGTGGTCAAAAATCATTTTATTCATTTTTTGGAAACATTTTCATGATCGCTTTTTTCGTTTTACATTTTCATTTATTATCATTTCCATTCAGTCAGTCATTAAGTGCTATATAAAATGTTAATTTGCTACATATCCAAACAAACAAAGTGTGCAATCCAATGAATGTTAATCTAACTGGGTTTTGAGATATAACATATCTCTTTTTCTTCTCTCAATTATTTTATTTATTTTGTGCACTCAATATTAATCAAACTATTGTTCGTTTATACATTTTAAGAATGGCGTTTATCTTTTTGATTTTATTATTTGGGTCTACAACAGATGATACAAATGTTTGTTGTCAGT